TGGAGTGTGCATTCCAATGCTACATGCGATCCTTCCGCCCCATCAAACGTATAAAATAGTAATACTGCAAAGGGGCATAGAGAATGAAAATAACAATGGGGATAGCAGTACCTATATAAGACCTAACATCTGTATATATATAATTACTAGCCAATAGCATTTAATAAAACCTAATTAATTTTACCTATGTGGCAATTTAATATTTTTCCCTCCAAAAACCGTTACTTTTTTATGTATTTAATTTTTCATTTAATTATTAAATAATCATTACTAATCACTTCAAAATTATAAAAATTATTTTAAGTTTTTTATTAATGACAGTTGACCATATAATGTGTTGATCGTACAATGTGATTAGATGTTATTATTGTGGTTACATTTAAATTAAATTTTTTTTTAAATTAAAAACGTATTTGAAATCCTAAATAAATGATAAATAATTCAAAAAAAGACGTACCAAAATATACATCACATCCAATCAGATAAATGCAATTTTTTTTAAGTAAATATTCCAACTTCTTTATTTGTAAATTTGGCATGCAAAAAAGTGAAAGAAAAATAATTAATCATTATATGCATACAAATAACTCACAATATTTTATTTATATCTGTGCAAATGCACAGGATCGAATACTAGTGAAAATGAAATATGCACCATATATCATGTCTTATAATGAGAAAAGAGGCCGCCAGGTAGAGTTCTACATGACCTCCAGATATTTTATACAGAAAGTTACGTACTGCACTTGAGGCAATCATTCAAATTTCTCTTTATTTCATGACGAAACCAACATACTGATTTAGAAGGAAATGACACGCACGGGAACTTTTTAGTACAGCCTGAAAACAACTGCAGAAATAATTGACATGGAATACTTACCTTCTCTGCTGAGAGTGCGTCAGTGCAGACATTGCTAATCAGCTGGGAATTAACCTGTAAACAACATTGCAAAAAATCATTTTATTACCTCGGAAGAGCAATGACAAACTAGCTCTTTCATTCTGGTCCAAGAGCTTTTATTTAATATTGGTTCTAATGGAAAGCTATCAGAAACAGTAATCAAACTATTCATCAAGTTTACAGCCAAGAGGCGAAATGCATATACGTGACGATCATGAAAAGAAAACAAATCATACAGTTCATTAACTATAAAGTTATTCGGACTCAACGCTTGGAGTGCACAGCATATGTATCATGGTAGAAACACGAAGGGAAAAGGGAATAAATTGAGAAAAGATATAATAGCTCACATTACAATTAAATGTCAACAGCCAGAGAGAGGTCCATTACCTTACAAATTGTGTCAAAACCCACATTAGCCTCAACAAACTGGTTTTTAAGATCTCCATTTAAAGTAACAGGAATACCAACCACCTGTTTAGATTTAACAAATATATTTAGCTCAGCAATAGCTGAAAACAATAATACAAGCAAAATGAAAATGGCAGCACTGTTCATATGGGTCAAACTTGAAGATATATATTAAAATACAAATGATAATCTATACGAGGAGGTGCAGCCTGCAGTGAGCATCAACAATGCGAAATAGAACCATGCAATATTATGATGATAGAGTGTGACGTACGTAATATACTTTTGTTGGGCACTTTCTTTCTGCAAAAGTCTCTGCAAGCTGGGCAGCATCTGTGTTTGATGTCACACCTTCATAAAATAAACAAAAGAATCAAGATACTGTATTTTTACATGCACTTTTTGTAGGAATTTATAATCACATAATATAAATTCAATAACAATTATCGTAGAACATGCTTTAATTCTAGGAAAATCAACATCGCTCTAGATCTGAAAGATTATTAGAAATACCTGGATCCATTGAGTTTCTTTTGCGGAACACGAACTCGATTGATTAATTGGATCAACTGGTATTATGACCTTCCTCAACTAAATCGTCTTATTCCTCAGATGGGACTGTCGTCTTCTTTCAGATGGGGAGAAAAGAAAACTGTGTTTGATTTAGTGTGTTGGGGACCATAACCAAGAGGGTCTATATATACTAATAGGGTAGGCCACCCATTATCACCTAACCCTAGTAATATTAGGTATCCACTCATTAAGTCCATATCAATTTATGTAGCCCATGAACTCTACTTAATTTAGATCACTTAATTGAGTCCATTAATTAATTAATTGAATAGCTAATATAATATAATTTTATATATAATATGTTGCCCATAATTAAATTAAACATAGGAAATAAAATATTTCCTAACAATCTCCCACTTGGGCTACATATTATTTCCGAAGCAATTATATTAATTCCTTAATTGCGCAACTTTATGCTATTCATAATCAGACTACCTTAAACAATTTGGTCCATCTCATATACTAGCAATGAAACTACCGCGACTTTCACCACATTACAAATCGTGGATAAACCCCGGAAGTCACCATACTAGTACACTCAATGACATAGATCAAATATGGTGAGTGGCATGGAAATTACATGCAATGTGATCTTTAACATGTCTATTTCCAACTGGTCCAACTTTATTCTTTATGGAGATCGATCCATAATGTATATATCACAATATGGAAAAATAACTTAAGCGAGTTCAAAAATGAAATCAAAACCATCAACTTTATTCTGCAGAAAACCAAATAATCCATACTGAAGTTCATCACATAGAACATAAACTCCCACTAAACTAGGGCAACATCCGAAACAACGCCCATATGAGTAGTATGCTCATGAAACATTTTAGGTGTTAATGCCTTAGTTAGCGGATCTGCTAGCATACTGTCTGTTCTTATGTGTTCTATAGAAATTTGCCTATTCTGAACCCTCTCCTTAACAACAAGAAACTTTATGTCAATGAATTTTGACTTTGCAGAACTTCTGTTGTTATTGGAGTAAAGCACGACCGAATTATTGTCACAATATATCCTCAGCGGCCTCTCAATGCCATCCACTACACGCAGCCCAGTGACAAAATTTCGTAGCCATATCGCATGATTGGACGTTTCATAGCAAGCAATGAACTCCGCCGCCATGGTAGATGAGGTTACGAGAGTCTGTTTTCCAGACTTCCAAGAAATAGCCCCTCCAGCCAGCGTAAACACATATCCTGATGTAGAGCGCTTGCTATCTTGACATCCAGCAAAATCAGAGTCAGAGTATCCAACGATCTCCAAGCTCTCCGACCTCCGATAAGTGAGCATGTAATCCATTGTTCTCTTTAGATAACGCATTACACGTTTGGCTGCTTTCCAATGTTGCTCTCCTGGATTGCTCAAATATCTGCCCAAAACTCCCACTATAAATGCTATATCAGGACGAGTACAAACTTGAGCATACATAAGACTTCCTACTGCCGAAGCATAAGGAATCTTTTGCATCTCAATTTTCTCATGATCATTATTGGGACACTGCTTGAGACTAAATTTCTCTCCCTTAGACACAAGGGTGTCAAGTGGTTTGCTACCTTTCTTGCCGAATCTTCCCAAAACCATATCGATATAGCTCTTTTGTGATAATCCAAGAATACCTTGAGAACGATCTCTTAGTATTTGGATCCCTAATAAAAAAGAGGCGTCACCAAGATCTTTCATTTCGAATTTCTTCGTCAGAAATCTCTTAGTTTCGTGCAATAATCCTATATCATTGCTCGCAAGAAGAATATCATCGACATATAAAACCAAAAAGACATATTTACTCCCACTGAACTTATAGTATACACAGTCATCAACGACATTTACCTCGAAGCCGAAAGAGGTTATGACTTGATGAAACTTATGATACCATTGACGAGATGCCTGCTTAAGACCGTAGATGGATTTCTTTAGTTTGCATACCATAGACTTTGGGTCTCCAGACACAAAGTTGTCGGGCTGCTTCATGTAAATTGTTTCCTCAATATCGCCATTGAGAAAAGCGGTCTTTACATCCATCTGGTGTAGCTCTAAATCAAAATGAGCTACAAGTGTCATAATGGTCCTAAAAGAGTCTTTTGATGAAACTGGAGAGAAAGTCTCTTTGTAGTCAACGCCTTCTCTTTGAGTGAAACCTTTAGCGACTAGACGAGCCTTATATCTTTCGATATTGCCTTGAGAATCCCTTTTTGTTTTAAATATCCATTTACAACCAATAGGTTTCGCACCTTTAGGCAATTCGACAATATCCCAAACGTCATTGTCACTCATAGACTTCATCTCATCATTCATGGCGTCAATCCACTTTTGAGAGTTAGAACTGCGCATAGCTTGACCAATTGTGACCGGGTCATCCTCAGTCAAACCAATACCATCCTCATGTTCTTGGAGAAATACTATGTAGTCATCGGAAATAGCGTTTCTCCTCTCTCTAGTGGATCTCCTTAGTGGCACCTCTTGAGGTTGTTGAGTTTGATCCACAACCAATGGAGGAATGATCTCAATGTTGTCTTGATTTGGAACAATGTTTTCAACAGGAGTCTCAACATTGTTCTCAATTACTGGAATTGTATCTTGAACAACGATAGGTAAAGAAACCAAATCATTGTCAACTCTGGATTCTTCTTCAAAGACAACATTCCTTATGACCTCTTCCCTCCCAAACTCAATATCCTCAAGAAATTTGGCATTTCCCGTCTCGAAAAAAGTTCTTGATGTGGGGTGGTAAAACTTATATCCCCGTGAGTGCTCAGAGTAACCAACAAAATAACAGCTAACTGTTCTTGAGTCCAGTTTTCCTTCATGCGGCCTATAAGGTCGCGCCTCAGCTGGACAACCCCATATGTGCAAGTGCCTAATGCTAGGTTTCTTGCTTATCCAAAGTTCGTAAGGGGTTTTGTGAACTGATTTGCTTGGTACTCGATTGAGAATATACACTGCGGTCTTTAATGCTTCTCCCCAAAGTGACTCCGGCAGAGAAGAATGACTAATCATACTTCTTACCATATCCTTAAGAGTTCGGTTTCGTCGTTCGGCAACACCATTCATGCGAGGTGACCCAGGCATTGTGTATTGCGGAACGATTCCACACTCTTTGAGGAAAAGTGCAAAGCGTCCTGGACGTTGTTCTCCTGATCCATCAAATCGGTCGTAGTATTCACCTCCACGATCCGATCTAACAGCCTTAATTTTCTTCCCAAGTTGAAGTTCTACTTCAGCTTTGAAAGACTTGAAAACGTCCAATGATTGGGATTTCTCATGAATCAAATAAAGGTATCTAAAACGAGAGTAATCGTCTAGAACGTAATGAAATAGCGTTGTCCATTCCAAGAAGCCGTAGGGAAAGGACCGCATATGTCAGTATGAATAAGTTCTAAGACTTCCTTAGCTCGTTCGGCTCCTAATTTCCTGATATTAGTTTGTTTCCCTTTGATACATTCAACACAAACTTGAAAGTCTGCAAGATCTAAGGGATCGAGGATTCCATCAGATATAAGCCTTTGTATTCTTTGTTTAGAAATATGGCCTAATCGCTTATGCCATAAAATGGCAGAATCCCCAGAAAATTTTCTCTTTGTACCTCTAGAAGAAGTTTGCAAAATGACATTATTGGAACTTACAAGATCAAGCATATAAAGATTATCAATTAAAGAGCCATCACCAACAAAATTAGAATTTTGAAAGAGACTAACTTTATTATTTCCAAAAGACCAGGAAAATCCCAGTTTATCCAAAGCGGAAATAAAAACCAAATTCCGTCTAAACGACGGTACGACAAATGTCTCAAACAAATCTAAATAACAGCCACTCTTTAAATGCAATCTAAAGGTTCCAATAGCCTCTACTGCAACTTTATTTCCATCGCCCACAAAGATGAATCTTTCAGCATCACTTGGCAATCGGCTCCACAGGCAACCCTGCAAAGACATACTTATGTGAGTAGTAGCTCCCGAATCTACCCACCAAGTATCTTCAGGTACAAAGGATAAATTAACTTCAGAACAAACTAAAGTTAGAGATATACCCTTCTTAACACGCCATGCAGCATACTTGGAGCAATCTTTCTTTATATGCCCCGACTTCTTGCAGAAGTAGCATGTCGATTCCCCAGGTTCTATCTGTTGCTTCTTCTGCGTGGAAGCAGCAACCGCAGTGACCTTAGGTCCCTTTCTCTTCTTGCTTTGAGCATTCGAGGCCAAATGAGCACTTTCAACCCTATCTCTCTGCACTCTCTCTTCCTCTTGCACACAGTGAGATATAAGCTCATTAAGGGACCATTTGTCCTTTTGAGTATTATAACTCACTTTGAATTGCCCAAAGTGTGCAGGGAGAGAGATCAAAACCAAGTGCACGAGCAATTCCTCAGAAAGCTCTAACTTTAGTGCCTTAAGTTTTGATGCGAGATTGGACATTTCCATAATGTACTCCCTAGCTTATGTTCCCTTTGCCTTTGTACCTCATGGAAACGAGTTTAGCCAAAAGACTACTCGTCTCCGCCTTTTCATTTTTGGCAAACTATTGCTCAACAGCCTCAAGGAACAATTTGGCACTCTCGCTCTCAGCAATGGAGCCCCGAAACGCTTCCGGAATGGAGCGCTTCATGATCATCATGCACATTCGGTTTGAGCGATCCCACTTTTCAATTTTAACCTCATTCGGGTTTTCAGCTGTAGCAGTAGGGCGCTCAGACCGAAGTGCCAGATCCAAATCCATACAACCGAGAACAATTTCTACGGTTTCTTTCCAATTCTTAAAATTCGTCCCGTTAAGCATTGGGATGTTGTTAATTTGAGCAGAAACATTTGGAGCTGTAGCAACTAAAACAATATAGAACAATATAAGCATACTCACAAAATATCCATGACATAACAAAAATTATGCATGAACAAATAATACAAATTGGGGACCCATCTCAAGACACCTAGCGCAACATAATCTCGTCTATGGACAGAAAATTAACTGCAGTGGTAATCTTGGTGTAACAATCAAGCATTGATAATAAGTTCTGTCAAACAAAAGTCTATCTATGGACCGACTAATGTTCACATGAAAATACCATAAAATTATCACATACTTATCATCACATGTGTGTAATTATTTGGCCAAACTGTGTCTACCTATGGGCTGATCACAGAACGCATAAGTAATAACACACGACATCTATGTAGTTTTAATAAAATCGCTCTCCACACACAGAGGCTGCTATGGCAGCATGATGTTTTGATTGATTAAATTAAAAATTACTAGACTAATTGAGCAAACATAAAATTATTTAGCTTAATCAAACGACATAAAAGTCTCCCCAATTCAATTCAAATAAAAGCCTATAAACCAAATCAGACTTTTATTTAATAAGTCCAAAAAAACAAGTTTGGACCTTCAACCTTTTAAAATTAATCGCATAGGTAGTCTAACATATATGTGCACATATACACCATTAATGATGAACTTACTTTTAGTAATCATGCACAAATCTTATGCACTACTACTACCTTTCACATAAACAAACACACACATGCCCAGGATTTTTTTTATTCAATAACATAATGTCCCAGCAAATTGCATGTACAGAGGCCCACAAATTGAATGATATGTTTATTTACAAAACCCAAACATTGAGAATTGAAAATTTCACAGAGAATGAATTACCACAACAAACAATAATTCCCGTAACCATTCAACAAAAAGAACATACCGATCTGGACCCAAAAAATAATTTGGACACAAATTTTAAGGCGTGAATCAAAAGGCCATACAATTTTTCTTCGACTGTGTTCAATAATTCGAAGCAAGCACATATATACACAGATACACACGTAATTCAAATCTAGCAGTCGATGACCGCTATGATACCACTTGTAGGAATTTATAATCACATAATATATATAATAACAATTATCGTAGAACATGCTTTAATTCTAGGAAAATCAACATCGCTCTAGATCTGAAAGATTATTAGAAATACCTGGATCCATTGAGTTTCTTTTGCGGAACACGAACTCGATTGATTAATTGGATCAACTGGTATTATGACCTTCCTCAACTAAATCGCCTTATTCCTCAGATGGGACTGTCGTCTTCTTTCAGATGGGGAGAAAAGAAAACTGTGTTTGATTTAGTGTGTTGGGGACTATAACCAAGAGGGTCTATATATACTAATAGGGTAGGTCACCCATTATCACCTAACCCTAGTAATATTAGGTATCCACTCATTAAGTCCATATCAATTTATGTAGCCCATGAACTCTACTTAATTTAGATCACTTAATTGAGTCCATTAATTAATTAATTAATTGAATAGCTAATATAATATAATTGTATATATAATATGTTGCCCATAATTAAATTACACATAGGAAATAAAATATTTCCTAACACTTTTTTCTTAGCCTGACAGACAAGGATACCTCCAATAACTACAAGAGCATCAAGCTTCAAAGTTGTGCACGCATTAAGCGCAGCATGGACTTGTTCAGTTGTTCTAATTTGATCTTTTGTCCGTCCCAACAAATCATAACCACCTTAACAACATAAAACCAAATCAGCACAAGTTAAGTATGAAAAATATATAACATATGCATCAAGATTATGTATACTAATTTACCTTGATTTTTGTAGGTTGCAAGAACCTCATCAGTAACTTCTAATGTTTTCTGTGCAAATAAACCTTCCGAACCACCTGGTAAAGCATTATTGTAAACCACGTTTTGTTAATCGTCAATGAAGAATAATAATACAATAGTCTGCCAAAAGGAGGAACACAAGAAAATGACTCGAGTGCGATCTACAACACAACGATGGAACAATACCGATTTAGCAGACACTATAGCAAACATCAAAACCTTCTACAGGAAATCTGCAAATAAATACAAAGGTTGGCAAAGGCATCCAACCACCTACAGGTTAGATATATAAGGAAAAGAAATGTTATCAATCTAAGAAAATTATTAGAGTTTACCTAGAAATCCAAGCAAAACACGTTTAGGGTTGTGGATTTTAAGAGCTTCAAGAAGACCCCAAACAACATATTGTGTCCTCCAGGTGATTGTCTACCACAGAAAACCACTCCTACCCTGAGAAAGCATAAAAAACGATGAGCAAAAACTTAGTTCAGCATAAAAGTGAAATCACAAATTCCCACTCTGAAATGTTGATATTCAAAGTATCATTACTTAAATTTATTAAAGCACCAGAATTGACTAGGCAGTCGAGTATATACCTGACTGGAGGATGCTCAGTAATTATATGAGCATCAGGAACCTAGGCAGTTGCCCTCAGGAAATGAGCTATAGGTTAACCGTAGGTGTGAGGAAAAGACCTGCTTATGGTGTGGGCACCGGCGGGATCCGCAGCGGCAGTTGCATCACCAAATTCCACACGAACAATAGTACCCTGTCCAATTTGATACGACATTGTCAAAAAATGTACTGAAAAGGTTACTATATGATCTTAACACAAGTTATCAGGTTTGAGAAAGTAACAAGTACAAGCAGCTCGAGTGAACTTTGCATAGAGATTCGAACAAGGAAAGAGGAAGCAGAACTGGCTTGTGAAAACTCTTTGCACAGTATGGTAGGCCTAAGCTAAGCCAACACGTAAGTTGCTCAAATGGCTTTAAAAGGAAAAACCACTTCAAAGCACAGAGGAAAAAAATGAATTTCTAACTTAGACAGTGCCAAGATAATATAAGCGATTACGGTTAATAGACCAGACTCCAGAGGCCCAGGTTAAACTAAAGAAAAATATAATTCAAGCAGCAATTTACAGAACACAAAGCAAACTTTTCAATTGCTAACCACCCTTAAATCATTGAGTAAATGAACAAGAAGCCTTGGTATAGAATTCTAAGCATTCTATGTAAGCAGCATCAACGGTGAAGAGTTATACTTCAGATTCTACACCTATGTTGCTTGTAATTCCCCTGCTCAACAAACAGGCGCTGGCGTGGATACCACAAATAAAATCACAAGATGGCTGAAATACAACTAAACAACTCAATTCTGATTTTTTTTTTTTTTTCTCTTGATTTTTTCTTTTTTTTTTTCCGATCAAGATGTATCGATCATGTTCATAAATTAACGAAAATGTGCAAAAGCTCTATTTGCATACATCTCATGTTCATAGATTAACGAAAATGTGCAAAATCTCTATTTGCATCTGCCATTTTACGAGTCTCTTCCTTTTTGCATATGGTACCGCTACTACCTTTGACAACATCCACTTATTCGGAACTTAATTTGAACCTATAAATTGATCAGTGATCCAATACGCCAACTGTTTCCTAAAATTTACTGTCAGCATATTTATTCTGCAACTTATACTATCATTTTCCGTTCACAAAGACAAACAAGTTCAATAATAAGATACGAGACGTATCAAGGATTGCATTGCTGAGCAGATCCAACACGTCAGATCTATTTCCCCATCAGGGGCGAAGCCAGAAATTTTGGTTGCTGGGGTCGGGACAAACCCCAGGCTCGCCCATATATAGATCTGCCCCTGCTGCCGGGGTCTTATTATTTTTTTAATGGGGTCTTACACAGTGAAATTTTGTTACGTACAAGTGGTTCAACGCAAAGTGTCGGTGTCGGACTACCCCAGCCATGGGCAAACCAACACTGCATATGCTGATCTAGGAAAACAATCTAATCTACGATATCTCAGTTCGCACACCAATCGGTCAAAAATTATCCAACATGCATAAAAATATAACAACGGAAACGAACCGGAATAGGAAAAACTCGGGAAGAGGAAGAGAGAGACCTGAGACATGGCGGGAGCTCGGGTTTGTAGAGAGACCGAAGCTTCTGCAGATCAGAGAGTTCTCTGGCTACGCCGTAATCGGAATCCATTAGCTCTCCTCAGTATATTTGATTCAATCGCAATCACAACTCTGCAAAATCTCGTGTTACACGTGCATACAAGTTCTACTGTTAGTTGCAACTGCGAGTGCCTTATTGTATTATACTAGTTATCACTGTTATTTGCAACTGTGAGTGCCTTATATCTATGCACGGGCAAAGCGCGACAATTTTGTATATAAATTGTGTAATAATTCAATGATCATGATTATAAGAATAAACATAAATTAAATTGAATAAATCATATATTATTGAACACTTCATTGTATACAACATTTTGGTTTGATTCTTTGGCACGTCATCTTCGCCACGAAATAAGATTTTTAAACATTTTTTGTTAGTGACACGGGAGACAACAACATATAACATGTCATGACTGAATACTGGTTTCTTAAGAAATAAGCCAACATGAGATGAGGATTGTCACTTGCTCTTGTTTATAGTCATGGCGTAAGAAACCATATTGAGAAACTGTCGCCGCTGGAACTTGAAAGGAATTCTAACGTCAAAATGTGTTATGGCAATTCTGGAAATCAACACCTTATCGCTAGCATGATTTCATGTGAGTATCTTACACTCAAGAACATGAGTGGATAGCTTTGTCACAACCAATCGTGTCCCATCACACAAACACATAGAATAATTTATTTTACGATACAACTCATGGTTTGTATTCCAAAACACTTGATACTATTAAAAAACTTAGGTGTATGTAGATCAGACAAGAAATCATTATTAGAATCCAATTTTCACGTACTGTCAGAGCTCAAGTACATACGACCATCCAACAAATTCAATGATGTCATGTACTCATTGATAGACTCGACCACATCCAACGTCGACGCTAATATAGCCCTATCCTTCAAATAACTTGGATCATTAGATGCTCTTATAAATTGAATATGTGCTTTCAACGATTTGAGAAATAGGATCATTAGATAGTTGAAACAAAATGTCCTCAGGTATGTCTATAGGTGCTCATCCATTATTCGACCCCCCGATAGTTCCATTACCGATGTTGGCTATCTAATGTGCAAACCTTACAAGCTCATCACGTTCATCCAAATTAGCAAGTCCCTGAAGATGCATGTTTTCGTATGCCTAAGCACAATACAACTCCTCCATATGTCAGAAGCATTAATGACAGCATTGACTTTGCCCTGACGGCTACCCTTTGGAATGACATGAAGGATTTATCGAAAATCTCCACAAAAACAATCGGCTTGCCACCAAACGGTTTGTTTGTGTTCAAAGGATCAATTGCTCTCATAATACCCTGCAGCGATGTCTGAACAGAATCAAAACAATGTTTGTGCATCATTGGTGCTTCATCCCATATTATTAGAGAAGCAAGAATATTAATTCCGCTAGAGAGCTTGACTGATTGATGTTGCAAGTAGATTCCTGGGGGGATTCAATGGCATAGCAAATCGAGAATGTGTTGTTCGTCCACCTAGAAACAAAAGCGATGTTATTCCGCTGGAGGCGACACATAAGACTGTGCCGCCTTTGGATCTCAAAAGCCAGCAGATAAAGTCGTCCACAAGTACGTCTTCCTAATTCCACCATAACCATATACAAAAAAGAGCCCTCATTGGCCGGATTCAACAACGGACATAATTCTTGAGTAGACACTCCTCTGTTTGGCTGTCATTTTTTTAAGAAGCATATCGTGTTCAACAGCGAGAGCCTTTCGATCATAATTCAATTAAACCAATATTAGACGATTCGAACTTGAATCGATGTTGTCCCTGTCTGGAAATGGCATAGTTGAGTGTTCACGAAGACTTGTCCCATGTCGTCTCAATAAATTCTCAATCTCAGAAAGGACTAGCTTCTTAATTTTTTCTTCAGTGAGCATCAAACCTATAAAATAATTATTATGTATAAGAATAAAAAAAATATTAATACATTTAGAACATTGTATATAAAGATAAAAATCAAATTATGATTAAACAAATTATAAAAAGTAATTGATTACCAACGTTATTGTGTAGTTGGTGATGTCTGTACAAAATGTCATCTGACATGCATTGCCAAGACTTTCTCCACAAGTCATTCGGTCTTCCGAATGAACCAGACACAAGTCTAAGGGAATCTGCAGAAGCCCACTGACTTGCTTTTGCAATGCCGTCTATATACTCTCGATCGTCCTCCAACAAACCCCACTCGTAGCAAGCATCACGATACGTTAGATACTGGACTTCACTGACTTTCATATAGTCCTCATGACATGTTGCCCCACGCACAACAATGAGCAAACATCTTAAGCAGTAATTATTTCCACTGTCGGGAGGTACGTATCGTAAACGGCCTACAGAGTGTTGGTCCTCATTTTTTCGAGGCGTCCACTGCCTGATTGTTGTATTCCACACAAATTTTGACGGTGCCCCATACGTTAGTTCCCTTGTCTGAGGATATATTTTGTTTGCCTCGAACCACGCAAGAAATTGGCTTTCATCAACTTTGAGTTTCTTGATAATATTTTCAAGATCAACATCTTCGTCAAATAAAAGCTCTGTTTTCCAAACAAGTGGAAGTTTAAATGCTGGACGGGAGGTTTTTTATACTACAACTTATAACCCAATAACCGCCATGCCCCGCCTCGCACGAAGATATGTACCGACAATCATAATACATTTGTATCTCATCCAACGGTCTTTCAATATCCCCTTCGGCAAACGCTTTATAGAATGATGTTGTCACACGATCGTTATCCTTGTTGCCATATTTGAATAGATACTTTGTAAATCGTGATTGATTGCACCACTCAACATTAAAATGCGCTCCAAACTTCATAACCAGACGCCGATTATGAGGCACATTCTATCCATTGTGAACAACAATACCATTCTTTTCAAGAGATGTTCCATTGTCACAACGTCTATACCGTGGATAACCATCTTCGTCAACAGTTGTGGATTCAACGAATTTCTTTTTAATTATTTAGTAAATTTGCCATCCACCATACAGGGCGAGGTTTTTTTTTTTTTATTTTTTTCAGGCTACACAGTACATGGATCATATGCTCCTTTACTGCCTCGTAATATAGAGGATCAGACAATTCATCTGGTATGGTATCTCTGCAGGTATGATTCTATCTATGTCTGATAGGTCAGGAAATTTGGTCTCTTTAGCAAGGAAGAACAATATATGAGCATGAGGTAATCCATGTTTTTGAAACTCAGTCGTGTATATAACTGCAATATAAATTTGTAGTTAATATTATTATTTAAAATAAATAAATGTTAAATGTATATTTTGTAAATGATTAATAAAATGTTGTCACCATTATATACATTATCAAATGGCTCACCAGCTATAACCTTCCCAGATATTTGCTCTTGACAAAAATCCCTAACCAATTCCTTAAGTTTTGCTCGAAAAACCCTACAAACGTTATATGGTCGATCCTTAGGTCTTCAATTTTTTCAGCTCGAGATAACGCACTATTTATGGCCATTTAGGGTGTGAGTGTAATAAACAAATCAGGGTACCCAACCCATCTACAAATTATCATTGCATCTTGATAGTTTTCAATCATATTGCGAGCACCACCAGTGAAGGTTGAGGGAAGAATTATTCTTTTTCCTATGAATATTGGATTAGTGTCACCACGGAAACGGCCTCAGCCACACCATTGTACAAATCACAATGGAGTTTCTTCTGATTGAGACGTATATCCCGCAACCTCACAGATTCAACCATGGTATAAGCATCGACAATAAACGGTTGATACAATCTTCTAGATAAAACAATAGTCGGTGATTAATGTTCTCGATCATATCTATATGCAAAGTACTCTCGTACACTGATATATTTTTTACCGTCTTCGCTTACCTTCGTGCCTTCCCTAAACGGTATGTCCTATCGATACCCATCCCCGCCATAAGGCATCAAAAGAGGACATTGTAATGCCAAATATGAAGCATTAAGTTCATTTATCCTTTGAAGATGACCGTTCCTAGTTTCGACCAATATGTCTCTTTCACCCATTGACAGGTCAAAATCACCAACAACCAATACATCAACTTCTGAAGTCGTAGGCAAATTATATCGTCTGACATCTTTATATCTCTGATAAATCAAACGCACTCGAAAATTTGATTCGCCATGCTCCTGCATTCTATCCCTAGCCATACGAAATGATTTCACTATTTCGTTGTGTGTTGATCCAACATTTGTTTCAACCAAACAACTATTTCCTCATGCAAATTATTATTATCAGATCCATTTCTGCAAGAATATTAATAACAATTATCATTATATAAGAGATAAAATTTTGAATAGTATATATAAATAAAAAAAATAGAAAATATTTTAAAAAATATTCAATATCAAGTAGAGTGAATTCATACCTCACAACATTCATTATGTTGAAACTTCATTCTCTGTATTATATATATATATATATATATATATATATATATATATATATAAAGAGGTTGTTGGAAAAATACAAAAATTGTATGTTTGACTTAAAAAAATAATACTTTGACTTACTACTTTAAGTAATATTTACTACTTTAAGAAATAAACATGTCGGTCCCACATGTTAAATTAATTAACATAAAATTAAGGAATAACATATATCCATGCGGACTATGTGTAACATTATTTTGGAATTTGATTAACCAATACAACTGGATTTTTTGTGCTTAATACATACTAAAGCTATGCAAAATTATCTCCGATTTCATTAACCAATGTAACCTGATTTTATGCGCTTAATCCAAGCGAAATCTTTGCAAAATTTATCGGAATTTTTTCGCCTAAAATACACCATAAGTAATGAATCTGTATCTCCTAAAAAAATTGATAGGATTTTTTTAACTAATTTCAGCTGATTTTGAAGCCTATAATCAAATCAATTTCTATGCATTTTTTTTTTTAAAATTTCCTTTCTAAAATCGCATTTGAATTATAGAATTGTTGCTCAATTTGACTTTTCTAATTTAGTTAAATAAAGCCGCAATAGTGGTACATTGTTC